GCTGAGTAAATAAACTGATCCAAAATGCAACTGACTAATATCGATGCTTAGTCATAAAAATTCAAAAAACTTTAAATATTACTCATACGCAGCGTACTCAACAGGAACCCAGTTGGCCGATGTCTTAATCGGCCTCTTAATAAGTTTACATTAGCATACAAAATTAAAAAAATATATATATTTATTAATTTATATATATATATATTATGTAGATAATATACATATATAATCTACGTATATACATACTTTGACACGTATATGCAGACTTATTGATAAATACGTCAGCGATGATAACGACGTCAGAGTCAAACGGCTGCTGTGAAACCAGTTTAATTCACTTATTTAATATGGCTAATGTAAATATAAATAAATAAATATATATATATATATGTATACATATATATAATACATATCAATCGAGTGCTGCTTTATGGCTCTATGGTCGCATTGCACACGTATTCACAATTATTATTATTGTCAGTCTGATGGAAGGCAGCTTGTGCTGAGGCATATCTGAGCGACATCAGGGCCTGGCCTTCTGGCTTGCGGCTGCTGTTCAACAAACTGGCCAAAAAGCGACTGATCCAGTGTGAATCATGCTCAGTTTCATGTGAAGCTTGCGCGGTGTTCGACTGCTGAATAAGCGCTTAATGACACACTCGTCAACTGCGAGAAACGCGCTCTCACTCTCTGTCTCTGTGCGTGCCTCTCTCTCTCTCACACGCTCTCTTCTAAGAGACTGGCGAATTGGCCAGAGTCTGCTGTTTCTGCATTGCTGGCTGCTGACGTACGATTTGTGTGTTGTATCTGATCAGCTGCTTGTCAAATGGGAAATTTCGTGTTGCTTTTTATCATATATTCGAATATATAGATTAATTAGTTTGTTGGCATTTAAATTTGTATATATGTATATGTATATAAGTAAGTCTTTATTTATTATAAATATTTTACTTCTCACTTCACGAATTGGTGCCACGTTTTATACGAGAGTAGCCAGCATATATTTAAAGTAGTTTAAACGGGTATCTTAGTCTATATATACTGTTAGAGTCTATGTGTTTTTCCAAATGCTAATATATTCAAGGAATATTGTATCTCACTTTACGCATCTGTAATACATTTTGTATATATTCCTTAAAACAGCACAAGTCTTAAGTTAACTTAAGATTTCTTTAAACTTCAACTCCAAACTGTTACTGAATATGGTATACAAAGTTGTAAATGCTAAAATTTACTGTAGGCCGAAAGAAAAAAACATTGCTAAACTCACAAATATGCACAAATGTACAAGCTGCGTTAGCAGTCAATATTTATCTTCTATTCTTCTTAATTTATGTATGTATCAAAGCAACAGAATTGGCAATATTTATTTTACATATGCATGTATGTACATATTCATTCTACATAGGTAAATACAAAATGTATATCTGAAAATTCATAAAATGCACAAGTATAATAATAGTATAATTACAAATATGATATATTGATATTGATAATATATATGTACATTAATATAATATTACTATATCTACTAAAATTTGTATATACTATAATATATTTTTACAAATATTAATATGCATTTCTGTCTATCATATAGTCTGTCCAAGACCACAAATTGTCATACAGATTCGACTTAATTCCGTTGGAACAGTTTAACAGCCTAATGCGCTGTGCATGTGTGTGTGTGTGTGTGTAACTATATTGGGGTTCACAGAGAGATAAACTGTCTGCTAGTTGGTCATTTTTGGCTAGTTTTATTTTCAATCAGCTGATTACGCGCACTCTCAACTTCCTTATTGGACTACGCTATAGAGGCGAAATGTATGCGGCTGGGTGTGCGTATGCGTGTGTGTGTCTGTGTGTGCTTGTTGATAATCCTTTTGATACGCATCAACCCCCGACTGCTGCAACATCTCTCCCTCTCCCTCTCGCATTCTCTCTTGCTTCCTCATTAGCGCTGACTCTCTTGCATCGCTCTCTTAGTCAGCGCAAGCTGACATGAATTAAGCTGGACGCTCTCTTTGGTGGGTGGCAACGTAGCAGCCAACACTCGCTGCTGGGCCTTTTGTAGGTGTTTTAAAGATATTTGTTGTTGTTGCTTTTTCTTTCTTGTTTGCTTTTTCTCTGTTTCTTTTTGTTTGCACTGCTGAGCACTTTTGTGGGTGGAGCTTCAATTTTGTCTGTGCTCTGCTGCTCGTTGTTGTTGGTTCTTATTTTAGTTATTTTTTATTTTTTTGTCTGGCAGCATTTTATTTGTTTGGTTTTGTTCCTCTGTTTCGTTGTTGTTAAATGCGCGCACTCCACGCATAATATTTTACATCACCTCGTTGTGGACTCATTGTGTCGATTGTGAAAGCTTCTGTTACAGGGGAATGTATTGCGTGAGTCAGAGCGAGATAGAGCACAAAGTATTACAAACGTTCAGGACTCATTTCAAATGGACTAAAAGAGATAAAATCGCGTACTATATATGTATAGTTATGTATATACATAAACGGAAGCTTGAAGTCAATAATGAAAGTTTTGTCTATGTTTTTATATGTCTACGACTACAATACGCTTGGATTTTGACTTTGTCTTGCTTATTCAGTTAAAACTTATTTTAATTTTTTTATTTTTTTTTATTCATTTTAATATTGACTTATATATCTGTATATAAACACATATTATTTTTGTATATTTAATGTAAATTATGTAATGCCATCAATCGCTTAGTGCTCAGTGTATTTCCCAGTCGGGCATTCCCAATTAGATCACTTTAAGCTGTTTTTATACGAGATTTTACCCAGTATATTTCGCAATTACCTGCAATTTTCTAGAGGAAATAGTTTCTATATTTATCTATACGCGTCTCATTTCCTCTCTATATACATTTTAAAAGTTTGTTATACTTAATCTCTAATACTTTTTATCTGATCTTGCAACTTGTTTGGAAATACATTAAGCCCATTCTTTAATTATTGATCAAATTCATTTCCAATAATTTATAATAATATATAATATATAACAAATTACATTCAGTTTTCAACGGAATGGGCTAGCATTTAGTTTTATATACGTATTTTGTGGGTTTTTGGTGAAACTAGTGAGAGTTAGAGAAGTTATAACATAAATTGATTTTGCTTGACAAATAAATAGTTTTAGGCAAAACTCTAGGATTTACAAAATTGACTCATATTTATAAAAATATTATGCATTGTTATTTTATTAAGATAATGTGAAAATATTATCATATAATATTGTTGTCTGCATACAGTTTTCGGATGAAATTCTCCTGATTAATTTAAATAGATATTAGCCAAAAATGACTGTACATAAATCTTACTGATGAATTTTTGGAGAGTCTGACTCACAGTGTGTATTACAGTTGAGTCTCCTTGATATTCGTGTTCATAACACTATGGATGCTCAGAATTTGTGTTTGGAGTCTATTTTTAAAACTACGAAAATTTAAATATAATAAAATGTTAATTAAAAAAAAAAAATAAAAATAAATAAATAAAATAAAAATAAATAAATGAATTAATATTAATAAAATAATATACATGAATTAATATTAGAGAAAGCTTTTCAAAAGTGTCAACTTGATTTGTTACTTCCTAAGTCCAGCAAATTTATGGCTTATTCTAATCGCGAATTCCAGTCCTGAATTCCAGAAACTATGCTGACTCAAAAAACCTGGCTCTTGCTTTATGGACATCAATATGCGTTATGCTGCGAGTTGTGTTCAAAATTGTGACGGGACCACCCAGTCAGAGACCATATTACTTAAATAATACGGTAGCTGGCTAGCTAGCTGGCAATGAGACCGCACAAGTTTCGAGCTAAGCTCAGCTCAGCTGACTGGCCGAGACACTGGCTAACTGACTAACTGACTGGTTGGCTGGCAATGCTTGTAGCAAAGTCGTAGGCCCAGCTGAAAGTTAATTAGCCACTGCGAACAATAGCCTAGTGTCTGAGCCTGGACTTGGAGCATTCGAGCCACTTCGTATGGTAATTCAAGTCGCACATCATAAACTGCTGACAAAGTTCTGCGCTGGGCCTTGAGTCGCTGCCACCGCAAGCTGATTGAATGTACTCGGGCACTCGTATAAGCGACAAGCGATGAAACTGACGATCAGCCAGATCATTTACGTGCACGTTCTAAAAACCTGGAGCCAAACGCCTGAGCTACGGTCCGAGTCGAGCCGAGCCAAGCCGAGACTAGGGCTGAGGCTGAGGCTGCTGCCCGCCTGCAGCTGCAACAGAATCTTGAGCCAGGCGTGTGTCAGGCTTCTTGTTGTCTGCTTGCCCCTTTTCGGGGGCGCATGCTTCGGTCGTTCGATCGCTCGATCGCTCGATTGTCGTTCGTCGGCATCTTTAACGCTCGGCTTACTTTCTTTGCCGGCAGTCAGACCAGGCAGCCAGGCCGTCAGGCAGCGAGCGAGCAAGCAAGCACTACCTGGTATTGGGCATTTCGCACTGTCTAGAGTTTCCTCAGTTTCTTAATCCGATATAGGGGGGCTTCGCATAGTTTTGACGCCGACAATGGCATTGCCTTTTGCAATTTAACAATTGACTGCACTGGCTTGATTTGCAGCTCAGCTTTTGTTGCATTTGGCACAAACAGCCTACACATATATGAGAAGGGGGCACGTGAGGAGGGGGGCTATGATTTTGCATCTTTCGGATGTAGCAACCGCGGCGGGGTGTTCAATTTATTTATGCTATGGCAAAACCGCAGAAACACAGAGAAGAAAAAAAAAACATTGCACGACCCATGATGATCCATGGAGCTGGAGTTAGGGAGCTTAGCCAAGCAAGGGAATTGTAGTTGGTAGCCCAAATCTAAGTGGCTAAGAGTGTGTCTGCGGATGTCTGTATATGTGTGTGTGTGTGTGTTTCGCTCTGGCTTGAATCATAATTTATTAACACTCACTCTTAAGGCTTCGTATAAAATTCATGATTTTCGCAATTGTTGCTGATGTTTTTTTTTATTACTAACTATTGTTGTTGTTTAATGTATGTGCATAATTAACGGTAGTTATTGTTGTATTTTTACCTCTTTGTTTTCCTTGTTTTCCATTCGAGTGTGGTTAGGTTTTCTGCTTTGTTTTTCTCTCTGGCCCCACCATGAGACATGAGAGGGGGCCTGGCTCTTGGATCATTGCTTAATAAATTGTGTTTTCTTTCTCTCATTTATTTTATTTTAAATAAATACGATAACTTTATTAATAGTCTTCCATCGTTGCTTCGGCGTCACTTAAACAAAATAACAAAAATCGCATCAGACATTTTCCTGCCACATGACGCAACTAATCTACACTTAATACTAAAAAAAAAAAAAAATTACTTAAGATTTTAGTTGTACATACTAAGTATTCAATATAAACGTTTAATGTGCCATACCAATACATACAATTATTATTTATTTATTTATATGGAAACTATTTACAGTTCTTATCGATATATGTTTAAAAAAAAAAAAAAAATTGATTAATTTTATATTTGATATTCGAATATGTTCAGACGATTTCTGCATCGTGCTAAATTTCATAGGCAAGATAAAAACATAAAGAAGAAGAAGAGTAGAAAATATACACGCAGAAATTGCATTTTCATTTTGGTTTTCAGTTCAGTTCTATGTGCAGAAAGGCGCGTGTTCTTTGGAGTGGCCCTGCCATCAGATCGGGTCAATAGGGACGCCAGACTTGCGTCATATCGCCGACATCCTCTTCGCGTGCCGCCTCATTGCTAACATCGCTTGGATGCTGCTGTTGCTGCTGGTGCTGCTGCTGCTGCTGTTGCTGGTGCTGTGCCTCGAGCTGCCGCTGCGCCTCGAGCTGCTGCTGCTGCTGCTGCTGCTGCTGATGATGATGATGATGCAAATGATAATTATTCTGGCTGGCGCCCTCGGCCGCCTGCTCGGCAATGGCAACGGCTGCCTGCTGATCCTGTTCGCCGAGCGAAACGCCGCCGCTGAGGCCAGTGCCCAGGCCAATCTCGATGCTCGAGCGATTGCTGGCCAGCGAGCTGATCGTCAGCTGTTGGTCCGTGGCCAGGTACTGTTCCAGCTTCTCGCTGCTGTGCAAGTGCAGATGTATCTGGTTCTGGTTGACCGTTGAGTAGAGTTGTGGATATAGCACGACAGGTGGTGGCGGCGCCGTGGCATGGCCAGCCGCTCCGCCGTATTGGGCCGCCGTTGCTGAGCAACTGCCGTATTGGTAGTTGTTGTAGCCATTCGACCAGGCCGCCGCATTGTTGTACGCCGTGGGCGTCGCTCCGTAGCTGGCGTTGAGCGTCTCTAGATCTGACTTGGAGCTGGTGCCACAGTAGCCACTGGCCGCGGCCGTCTGATACGGATCGGCGGAGAAGCCGTGCATCTCGGGAAGCACCGTCGATATGTGGTAGTTGGCCGCGTCCAGCGTGGTTGTCTCATAGCCGCTCATGGCGCTGCTATAGTGGTTCATGGCCGACGCCGTCCCCACCGGCACCGGCACTGGCACCGGAGCAGCAGCCGGAGGCGGAGGTGGGGGTGGAAGCGCCACCTGATGCTGCAGGTGGTGATGGTGGTGCGCCGCGTGGCTATGCGAATGCGAGTGCGAGTGCGAGTGTGAGTGCGAGTGGGTGTGGTGGGCATGATGATAGGGCACGCCCACTCCGACGCCCACCGGATACGCGATGTTAGCACCGGAGCTGGCCGAGCCTGTCCACTCAGCGGCGCCTATCAGATCGGTTTCTGCAAGAGAAATAGTTGGTTAGCAGCGAGCTGAGCAAGTTGGCAGAAAGCCAATTTATTAGCGAGCCCCCATCTGGAGAACGTTCCCCACTCCCCACGCGATCCCCATGTCCCGGCGCACAGCTGCACTTGTCACAAACATGCGTGGGCGTGGCTGGCGACAGGCGGAATGGATAATTGAAAAATAATTTCATATACGTCGACGCGGCGCGACCCACGTGTGTGTGCGTCCTTCACCCCTGGCGACATGGCCAAGGGGTTAACAAATTGGCAGAGCAAAAGAAAATTCCAAGGCATGCCCAGGGCAACTAGGACAAAAGCAGCGGGTGGTCGCCACCCATCCCCTGCTTCGCTGCCATCCTGCTATCCGGCCCCCTGCCTCCTGCCTCCTGCCTCATCAGTGATATTTGACACAACGTCGCGCGCATATTTTGATTAATTACGTAAGCCAGCGGGCCCAGCAAAAGGAAAAGAAACAGAACTTTAAGTATCCCATGAGCCAGCTCAGCCAGCCAAAGAAGCTGGGCCAAATATGCCTTTTAATTAATCAAATTCATTAGGAACAGGGCACGAGTCCGTGAGCAGCGCCAGCCCGTGCTAAGTCAACTATTCGCAATTATTACCTGCCTAATCTACTAATACAATGAAAGCAAATAATTCCACTAATTACACCTGACAACAACAACAAGCCAGAACCTTGCTTAAAGCCAAAACACAAGGCTTGCTTGAGCTGCCCATATTTGGGATTCCGTTATCTAACACAATATATACATATCTGTCTATATATCTATGTATATTATATGTATATTTTATCAAATATTTAGACGATTACTTGTATGCTAATTGGATTTGTTGTACATATACGATTTATATAATTTTGTAGAAGAAATTGTAAATCTAAGTGAATCTAGGTGAATCTAATTAAATATATGTATGTCAATCTTTCTTCTATATGAGTTTATTATCTATGACGATCTATGTCGTCAGTTCTAATAATTGATTAACCCAAACAATACTACCTAAGTACACAGATGGCATAGAGATTGACGGATTGTTATGAGATGGAATTACATATTCGTCACTATATACCTACTACTACTACCTTAAACTTTTATCCCGGTCTGTTATATATGAGCATATAGTATATTAACTTACAACAAGTCAGTAATATCTTAAATATAATAAGAGCTTTAATTTTGAAATTTTGACTTTATTTTAATTGATATTAGCTTCAAATTGTTATACCCTGAACCCATTTTCAATGGGAAATCAGGGTATAATGGTTTTGTTGAAATGTATGTAACAGGCAGAAGGAGGCTTGGCAGACCCCACAAAGTATATATATTCTTGATCAGGGCGATGAGCTGAGTCGATTTGGCCCTGTCCGTCTGTCTGTCCGTCTGTCCGTCCGTCCGTATGTATGAACGCGTCGATCTCAGAAGATATAAGAGCTAGAGACTTGAATTTTTTTCCTAGGTCCGTGTATATCACGCGCATATCAAGTTTTTCTTTATATATCGATAACTACTCCCGATATTTTATTATCGATGAAAAACCTTATCGTAAGCTAGTTATTTAATTATATCTCCTACACCTTTAGAGCTAGAGCTTCCAAATTTTAAATGTAGACTTATTTGTATTTTATATAATTTCGATTTTTGTTGTAATTTATCCCCCACCCCTATATCCACCCTTTCACCCTCACCTTTGTAAAAGGCGTATTTCAAGTACTAGAGACGTGTGCTTTGGAATGTATATACATTTTCATCATATAATTACGCCCTGAAACTTTCATTAAGATTGTACGTATAGAAATTAAATTATTCAACAAATAAATTCTTATAATGTTACCCACACTACAGCGCAGTTAGCAGAGCGCGTTCTAATACGTGCGTGTGTATGTATGTGTGTCGAAAAGAAGTGCAGACTGATTAGAATATCAGATTAGAGGGTTCAGGTTATCTCCTAGTCGAGCAGTCTCGACTAGAGTCTTCTTACTTGTTTTTATCACGGTTTGCGTAGCACTACTGTTCTCTATGTACATGAACTGCTGGTTTGAAATATAAAATCATGTTTTGTATAAATACTTAATGCTGTAATGTAGTAAAAGTATTTGTGTTTATTTGATAAATAATTGATTTGAGCAATTATATTTGATTTCATTCATTTGACCTGTTGAAGGGCCACTCGCAATCTTGGGCCCATTTGCAATTTGCAATCTTCGTGTCATTCCCATTCCCATTGCCGACTTCTGTGCAGTTGATGTGTGTATTTTGACCTAAATGGCGCGGGGGGAGTGGGCCAAGAAAATTGCATACGAGAAACTTTTCACCCGGCACTTATCACATTTTATTGTTTCAATTAAGGCGCAAATTGCATTGCTGGCACAAAAGCCGAGGCAATCAGAGGGCCCAACCCAACTACCGCAACGGCTCGTCGGGGAGATGCAATGAAGCGAAACTGTCTGGGACGCATAACGAATAATGACTTTGGCTAAGGACAAGCTGCCCTCACCCAGGCCTCTCGGCCAGGCACGTGCAGAAAAGCTAGTGCCACGGGAAGGGGCAAGTGGCACGGGGTAAATAGCAAGGGGCAAGTATACGCATTTTACGCTATTTGCCCCTTGGTTGAAGCCTCCATTAATGTCACTTGCATTGAGTATAATTGCGCCCTCGCTGTGTATACGCAATGCAATTTGATTGGCCTTCTATATGATAGGCACGCGTGGAGAAATTCATATACTACAATATTATAATATGAGTACCTAATTTACATATAATCAAATGTGTCAAATGTTTCGAATAGATTCTACTCCTAAGACATTAGAAAATATGCTTTTCTATGGGCATAGATATATCCACTAGAAGATATCCTGGTTCTTTTTCAAGCGGCGTTGGGATTATTTATAATATTTATTTTTTTTTTTTTAAACATGCAATGGCGATGGCGTGCAACAATATGGACATTTCAGAAAACAATATGTTATATATTTATTTATATAAATAGCTCTCTTTAGCAGTTATTTCTACTGGCTTTCACGAAAGGAAAAGTTCAACACTTAATATCTGAGTCTTAAGCTATTTTAGTCTAATAACAGACGGAAGTGAACTTATGCAAAACTCATAGATAGTATGTATGTATGAGTTTATCAGGGCTATGGTATATTCTAGTCTGTATATAATTTTGGGCAATGTCCTTCTTGCCGTATGCGTATGAACGCACTTTTTTCGGCACTATTGAAGATAGAGAAAGTTGGAACACACACTCGTGTATATCTAGCTAGAAATCATATTAGTTGAAGACCTAGAAAGCTTAAATTTGGTATGTAGAATCGTGTTGACCATCAAGATCAGCAAGGTATGGCAGATATATGTATCTACGCCAATTGGGGGCGTGGCATATGGGATATTTTGCACGTTCGATTTGCCACTACGGGCCATGGCGAATATATGTCCGCCCACAGGGGGCGTGGCAAACCGCAAAAGTTTAGAAACAATTTTTTTAGAAGCTTCAAATTTAGATAGTTGAGTTACTAGTAACCTTTTCTATCGATGAAACAAAAGTAATTGTTACGCCTCTTTAGGGGCGTGGCATATCGAAAAATACCCTGCAATTTTCACATTTTTTGAGCGAAAGCATCAAACGTTTGCAGCATTAGAGCTAAAATTGCTGATGGGATGATGTGTATTATTATGATGAATGAGTATTCTGCAGTTGGTAATATCCAACTGTGCCGTTCTTACTTGTTATACCCTGAACCCATTTTCAATGGGAAATCAGGGTATAATGGTTTTGTTGAAATGTATGTAACAGGGAGAAGGAGGCGTGGCAGACCCCACAAAGTATATATATTCTTGATCAGGGTGACGAGCTGAGTTGATTTGGCCCTGTCCGTCTGTCTGTCCGTCTGTCCGTCTGTCCGTCCGTCCGTCTGTCCGTCTGTCCGTATGTATGAACGCGTCGATTTCAGAAGATATAAGAGCTAGAGACTTCAAATTTTTTTTAAATGTCCGTAATTACAGCGCGCATATCAAGTTTATCATTAAAAATCGATAACTCATCTCGATCTTTTTTTATCGATAAAAAACCTTATCGAAACCCAGTTATAAAATTATATCTTCTACACCTTTATTGCTAGAGTCTCCAAATTTTTAATGTATGCTTATATGCAATTTATACAATTTCGGTTTTTGTTAAAATTTACCCCCCACCTCTGTGCTTTGGCAATTACATGCATATTCATGTTATAATCATAATCTAAAAGTTTCATGAAGATCGTACGTCATAGTAAGCGCACACTGCAGCCCATGCGTGTTTATGCGTGGTTGCTTGTATGTGTATGTGTGTGTGTATGTGTGTGTGTGTATGCGTTTGTGTCTGTATGCGTGTGTGTGTGTATGTGTGTCTGTATGCGTGTGTGTGTATGTATACCTGTGTGTGCGTACGTGCGTGTGGGTGTGTGTGTGTGCGTGTTTTTTGTGTAAGCTGAAAGTCGCGAAAAAGTATTGAAATATCTATTGCTCCAAGGGTTCAGGGGATCTCGTAGTCGAGCAGTCTCGACTAGAGCTTTCTTACTTGTTTTAAATTGATGTGTTTGTGAAATATTTTAATAAGTTGACTTCATGTGATTAAATATTATCTTTAGATTAAAATCGATCAAAATATGCCCTGATCCTTGCTTATTTAGCTCCACTGCTATATAACCGTTTCCTTTAGGGAATTTGTCGATGAGAGTTATTTTCATCATTTGAATTGAAAGTTTGAGTTTATAATAAATCATATGACTTCTATTGACCAGGCTTACTCATTTAGCAGTTTTCCTCTTAAAAGCCCATAGCAGGTCTACATTGAAAGAGTTTCGTTTGCTTCAATATTAATTTAAGATATTAACATGTTCTCTCGGTACTTGCAGCCAAAGCTATTCGCCGAGGCGTAAGTTGCGCAAATCAATGAGTAATTCGTTTGGCTGGCCGGATATCTGCGATTTTCTTTGGTCATATTCTTCATATCCGCTTCGAGTGCAATCAAGCATAAGGAAGTGCCAGAGGAAGAGGAAAGGGAAGAAGAAGAGACTCGGCGAGCTGATTATAAAACCACAGTTGGCCAATAATCGCCGTCAGCAGGGCATTGGGCAGCAGTTAAAGCTCCGGCCCAGGGCTCGGGCTCGGATTGGCAGCGACCCCGTTTCAGGTTCTCACAGCTTTCGTTTGTCAGCGCCATCTTGTAGCTCATTAAGGAGCAGACAAGAGAAGAGCTGAGCAGAGCATAGCTTCCCGACACGAAACACAAGTGCCTAGCGACCAGCGACCAGCGAGCAGCGACCAGCTACCCGCCAGGTGGTGGCTAAGTGCCATTGCTGTTAATTAAAGTGGCTCCACGGCACTGCTTAGTCTCCTCTTCGGGCTTCGGGCAAAATGGCGGATGGTAAAAAAAGCAAAAAAAAAAAAAAAAAAAAAAAGAAAAAAAAAAAAAGTGCCAGCAACTTTGCTGTGCAATGTTGTTGTAAACAACAAACGGCACGAAACGGAAGTGAATTTGCGGTTTGGGTCCGGGCTTGGGTTTGTGTTTGGGTTTGGGTTTTGGTGGCGAACCAACTTGGCCACAGTTGGCGTTTTATGGGCCAAAAAGATTTCATTTCAATGTGCGATGGTTGACATTTTTGTTGTTTTTGCATGCGTTGCTCTCGTTGTTGCTGTTGCTCTTTCGCCTTTACTGTTACCCAGCCCACAATACACGGCACGCATTTCTGGATGTGCATCTTACAGTTTGCAGTTTGCAGTTTGCAATTTGCATTTTAATGTTGGATGTTGTTAATGTTGATGTTTGTGTTGGTGTTGGTGTTGGTGTTGGTGTTGGTGTTAGTGTTGGTGTTGCCTCGGCCATAGCCAACAGCTGCGCAACCGCATTTGGATTGATTTGTGGCTTGGGCACACACACTCAGTAAAAACTAAAATAAAGTTTTAAAAATGTTCCAAATAAGTGCTAAACTCCAGCATGCCGCTCGACCCATCGATCTGGAAATCCAAACAGATGTGCATTTACATACATCATACATATTCCACGCATACTGCCAGCATCAAGAACACAAAAATGCCAAGCATGAAGCCATTCAATTGCTTTAAACTAAATAAACTGTACGCACAAGCACACACGAAGGCCCCAGTTGCCTTCCAAAAGTGCTTCATTTTTATTTCGAAGTTAGTTTTAATTTTATATTCATTTTAATCGCTAAGAAATAAAATAAATAAGAAATGGTTTGTAAATCGCAACATAGCCGACTTGGAATGTCCCTATCTGTTGCGGTTCTATTCAAAAAGATAATTTCCGAATGGGTTGCCACTACGTATAGTTTATATATTATATACGTACATATGTGAACTATCATGAACTGATAACATGTTTTGAGTACTATATATATACTATATATAGATAAGCTCATGCCAGGAGTAGGGCGATGAGCACTAAATACAGGACAATAACATTTAATGATAATACTAATATTAACATTATGTGCAATATATGTATATTATTATTAACGACATGTTATTATTAAAGTAACTATAAATTGTGTGTGTGTTTTTTTTTATTTGTGTATAATTGTTTGTACTTATGTTAAATATAAAACGTTGATATACACCTCTATGAAAATGACATACTCCCATTTATTTTATGCAAGATGAATTTAAAATTTCTTTTCGATACCTCATCATGATATTATCGAAAAAATCTTGTTTTCTTTAATTTTAACCATTTGAGCATTCCAGGATCCTGACAAACTACAATATTTTTCATTTCGATTCCGTAGATTTTCATTTCTAAGTACCTCTCTAATTTATCTCAAAATAAAAAAAAAATTAATTCGATGACTTAAAAGAAACTTGAACCTTCATGCACGGAAGGCTACACGTAAAATTATTTTCAAAAATGAATTTCCATAATGAAGAGGGTAGCTTGAATAACTGTCATAGCCGCTAAATAAGCTGTCTGTCTGTGTGAGTTATGTGTGTCTATATATGTGTCTATATATACATATGTATGCATGTAGGGTTAGACTAAAACAGCTTTACAACTGGGTACAGGGTATCTGCCAGTCGGGCACTTTCGGCTAAAGTATCTTTCGTTCGACACCTAAGGTGCTGTTGAGATTCTTTACAAATTAAAAATTACACATACATATGTTTACCCCAATTTGGGCCCAACAAATATTACGCCCTTTTAGAGGCGTGATCTACCAAAAGTAATTGTAGCATCAACATTATGCTAACAACTAAGCTGCTCATATCTCGATTTCCTCCCCTGGAGGGCGTGGCAAGAATAAAACTACACAGCTATACCAGAGTTTTAAACTTAAGATCGTCAAAATCCAGGGATTCTTCGCCGGTAGACCTATAATTATTGGTTCGGGGAAAATCAATAAATATCTACTTAGGTGGACATTTTAAAGGTACGTACTGAGCGACTGCAAAAATCTAACGTATTTATATTTGTGTATATCATAAAAGTGTATACATATATATACATATATAGTTATATACGTATATAGCTAAAAGTCCCATATCATTTGTGATTATCGATTAAAATTCTAAGGCCAGTTTAAACAATAATAATTCATCATTTGAGTTTCGTTTCATTTCGTGGAATTTCCCGCTGATTTCCGTTAACAAGAAAAAAAAACTGCGATTTTAGCCAAGTTATTATTATGCGTAAATTAACAATTTAAGCGCCACATTAAAATATTAATGGCGTAGCCTTTTAACAGTAACAAAAGTCAGAATGTACATATATTTATCTACATACATATATGTATATGTATATTTATACGTGTTTATGCATATATGTATGTATGTATGCTGGTATATGTGCATATTGTATACATCAACCACGAAACGTTGGCCAAAAACGCGCTGTGGGATTTTTAATCTACGTTTGGGGCATTTCCGGTTTTGGCTTATTTTAGCAAGCAAACATAACGAAATCGATTGCACTGCCAAATGCCCCACGAATGCTGTTGTTGTTATTATTGTTGTCGTCAGCATTGGTTGTTATTGTTATTTTCGACAATTAACAGGCAACAACGACGACGGCGATATCGATGTGTCACTTTATTCGCATCGTACATACATATTTATTGTAATTGGGCAGTTCGATGCCGCGTCTCGACTCGATTCTCTTTTGGTGGCATACAAAATGCAAAATGAAAAAAAAAAAAAAATCATAAATTAATTAGCATAAGCAACACTTAGTCGCCGTATCAGAGTTTCTGTTTCACATTCGTCTAGGTTCGAACTAGCCCCTGACTCATACCACAGTGACTCAGCCCTCCATACCCATAACCAGTGCCGGTCCAGTCCCCAGTCCCGAGCGCCCCAGCTTCTCAGCTTCCCGCTCTGTGAGCCAGTTGCTCAACTTCTGTTAAATAGCAATAATTTTGCCTCATTTTAAGTTGTTGCGACCCAGAGTGGAATTAACGTATATTTACATACCCTGTGCACTCTGATCTATAACATCTTGGCACACATACACAACCACATACATAGACAAGCACATACATATGTATTGTATATGCCTTAAGCTTTACCTAGTTCGCAACATCTTTGACGGCTTGCCTTTGTATTAATCTATACATGGCATACATATAGCCAGCATTATGAACGGTTGCCTATTTCTCTGACTATAGAGGCTTGCTCCGCTCCGATTCCAGCTGTTTCATATGCAAATCTTATCTGCTATAGTATGCAATTTATCAATAACTTGTCGCGGTTTCATTTACAGCGATAGTCTATTTAAAGCTTTTTCTGTAGCTCATAAAATCAAGTATCTATAGGTGCGAACATTATATTCTTAGTTGTGGCAAAGAGATCAGCATTATGTATCGATATATAGCTTAGAGCTTTATATATAATTTTAATCGACACCTTACGTCAGTCTGCGTCTCTATTAGAGGAAAGAATACACTTTTGAATCTAATTATCGATAATTCAATAGTATCGATAATCGTTGATGATTTAAATGAAACCAGACACCAGAGCAGATAGAGTTGTTTTCCAACTAATTATTATAATAAGTTCTCGTCGCTGAGTACAAGGTATTTGACTAGTCGAGCTGGGCTGGGTAATACCTGCGCACTATATACATAGTATAAAGCTCAATCTGAATTCTCTGGCACAGACTCAAGATTCTAAATGGAAGTACTATTATAACATAGTTATATTCTATGTAGTGAAGGCACGACAATGCAAGGTATGGCGAGACGAGGCCCCAGCGACAATGATCGATATCAACGGGGTTGAACTATTTTTAAGTTTTGTGGAGGAAAATAAATAAATTAGCGGCATTATGTTAAGAGATAAGTAATAAATACTAAAAATAAATCGAGACTGCGATTGCGTCTGCGAGCGGCCGTTCGTTAACTCAATTAAAACGTTTAGGCCGCCTGGTGCCAGTCGAATCGACCGAATTCTTGATCATCTAATAAAGTGCACGCACACACACACACGCACACATACACATACGCACGCAGACAACACAGTTACACATTGTCACGGAAGCAAATGCAGTCAGCATTAAGACTCGTTAGGTTCATTAAAAAGAAATTCTTTGAGAGTGGAAACTTGGTTTGGGGAGTGGGTCAGCTCTTTGGGTCTATATTATGTCTTACCTTGAATTTGTGGTGCGTTAGGCTTGTAGCCCTGGCAATCCGAATTTATTGTACTATTTGACGATGAGTAATTGCTACCCAATTGCTGGGCAATGCTCGCGTTTGTGGTCAGCGCGTTGCCAGCCGATGCAACCGACACCGCTGCAGCCGCCGCTGCCGTTGTAGCAGCCGCAACCTTTGCCGAGTGTCGCAGCGTTTCCAGTTCGTGAAATGTTTTCGGGAAGCCGTCGATGAATGGTCGCTGGCCCAGGCCGAGAGCACGGTACTGCGGACCGCCTGTTGGACCTGCACAATATGGCAAAAGAATTTGCATGTGTTATATATATTGGTATTTGAAGTATGGTACGATATATGTATGGGATTAGTAATTCATAACAGTTCCAGTTAGCTGAGCAAATTTTAAGATCTGTCATCTCATTGAGGTCACAAGATTTACTCTGGCATTGCTTTGGGTCAAGTCAAGTCCAGACGAGGTAAGAAATAATTGCTAGGGATATCTTCCAGCTGATTAAGTTTATAAGTTAGCACGAAAATCTATCGATCATCATAACTACCGAAGATCAGCGATGTCTGCGAATACTTCACACCTTCACAGCACTTCAGTTAACAACAATGTTGCAGACTATGCTTCGCGACATCACCACCAGTCGTCGTTAGCACCTTTAGGACATAGGGCTAGTTTAGGCAGTAAGAAGTTATGCTCCTAGTTTATGTGATATTTGAACATAAATCGCGCTGCTCGCTATGCCACATTCAAAGTTGACTTTCAAAGTTTACTCTTGACATGAGACTTCGCATTCATAATTTATATTTCGATTGTCAAGTCGCTCCGCCTGTCAGTCTAGCTGATAGATCTTAAAGTCTGTAGTACGCTAGCCTGGAGTAGAGTATGAAATATATGAGAGCTAAAGACATAGCACATAAAATGACTATTTTAACTATATGAACGACTGCTCTGCGTGAAATCGATGACAAAACTATATCGAGTTTTATTTATTTGAGCACAGCTCATATGTCTTGTCGTTAGCTACATTAGGGCTTCTAGAGGAAATTTTGGTATTTTCCTTAATAAGAAGTGTCAAAACTTTACTATATTTTTATAAAAATTGATTAATTTAATTAGGCTAACTGCTAAAACTGTTAGAATTCCCAAATGATTTCTATATATTATTAATGAGAGATACTTGCAGCTATCTGCAGAGCACCTTAAAGCCATTTACTGATTCATCCTTATTGTACTACTACCGCCTAACTTCTCATTCCACCCTCGCTCGATCGTTCGTATGGAATGAACACATACTCAAGGTAAAGCCGCAGCATATTTTATAATGCATATACTTAAGTTAACTCGTATGTAGAGTACGTATTGCCAGTGAAGACCTAAAAATGCATTAACAAAAAAATTAATATTAAAATAAGAAAAAATTAATTCATACTCGTATATGCATTACACAAAACTAAAGAGAGAGAGAGAGAGACAGAGAAAAAACACATACTCAATACGACATCGTTGCCGCCTTTGCAAAAAGGTTTTTCTTTGAAAACCGCAATTTTTTCAGAAACCGTAGGAAGCAATGCAGCTCAGTTCAGTTCAGTTCAGTTCAGTTGAGTTGAGTTGAGTCGAGTTCAGATGACTTGAGTTAAGATATACATACGTACGTACGTAGGTACGTTTATCTGCCTGTCCATCTGTGTGTTGGTAAACCGGCTGCACTTTTCAAACACCTTCCAAAAAAAAGAAGGTCGTCGAAACAAAATGGCGGCGCTCACTTTACAAGATCTCGCATTGCGAGCAATTTTCAAGTCAAAATCTGACGCAAATATTTTGACGGCATGCAACAGAAGGCAGAAGCCTGAGGCCAGAAGACTGAAGGTAATCTCTCGACTTCCACGAGGATTATGAGTGATTAGCATTGTGTGCAATTGGCCGATATGGCTTATGCCAGTTACATCAATTAGACACTTGTCTAATGCGGCCTAAGACCCAATGCTAACCTAAAACCCAGCGTGTGACCTGAGCCCGTCCCGCCTGTGCGGCCTGTGCGGCTTGTGCTTATGTTTCAGTTAGATTCCGTGCTACTTACTTGTCTTGGAGCGCGGCTCCCGGGGACCGTCCACTGTCACTTTGATGGCTTTGGCATAGGTGGCAACTTGTGGCGGGCTTGTTGCAACGGTAATTGTTAGCGTAAAGCTCTTTCCTGTAACATTGGGAAGGGCGAAAGAGAAACATTGGGTATTAAAAGTCGTATATTGATTTACGAGACAGCTAATTGGCTACCGAATCAATTTCCAGCTCCTCCCAAAAAGTATTTAGAATGGTCTGCTGTCGACTGCCCTCGATGCACTATAAGCCCTTGCAATTCCCAACTACGTTGGCCACTTGTTAAAGGATCTTCGAGTTTGGATAATATTTTGAAAGATTTCTTAGAAACGCTAATATAATCGAATTGTAAATATTACATATACATACATATATAGGTTGTAAATACTAAGTTCAGAAAAGTTCTATACAGTGTGATTTTCGAGATACTTGTAGTTTACCACATATGAGTTCAGATCAACTTTATATAAAGCTCTATGGCTTACTATATCATATATATGAAATATTTTTGGAATTTATGGGGCTTTCTATTTCTTTGCTTTTTTCCCCAAATAATTATGTTGTCATATATGCCATATATCATGTTTATAAATAAATATCTAAGTAGAAAATGCCTATTTCTTAGTCTAAACATTTAAATTATTGTAAGATACCATTAACAAACAAAAAATCATCTGTACTTTTAACAAAGCGTGAAATAAATTGAAATCAAGAAATTTTTAGAATTTCGATTGATATCTTTCTCTGCACTCGAATGTATAGTTAAGTCGATATCTATATCCATATACGTATCTGTCACTGGAAAAGGGTATATCTGCATCGGCTTGCTTATCTCATCCTTAGCACTTTAAGCTAACTCTTTTTTTTTTTTTTGTATGACGCAATTTGTTTGAGCTCGACATAAATTTTGTTGATCCTTCGTTGATGGCCACCTCCAAGCGTTTGTCCCGCACCGCATTTATGGCAACAAACAAACAACAACAACAAGAACAACAACAAGCAAACGCCATAAAATTGTTGAAACCTGTCGGCTGGGCGCGCGAAACGGGGCAACATTGTGCTCTTTGAATGGGCTTGACCATGTTTACACTATTTATGGTCGAAGCGGGTGTCGCGACGCGCCGCATCGCGCCGCATCGTCTGCTCTAATGGTAAGCGGTGCACGCTGCACACTGAACGGTGATAAGTTTATCGATTTGCCAACCGCAGTCTGTAATCGATTATCGGGCGCGGGAGTCTGTTCGACTCTCGACTGACTATGGCATACGCATTAATTGCCGTTTTTGCTGCACGCTCTGACTGTCAATTTAATAAATGCATTCCCCCATGTGTATGCCCTGCACCCGTTGTGCAAAAAGGGTATATTGGTTTTGTGCATATGTGTGAAGTAAGCCTGCCGAACCAGGCGTGGCATGCCCTAGCAATCTTGGCACCGGATCAATAAGATCTATCTATTTATCTGTCTAACGCTCTCTATATACAGCTAGAGACTTAAAGCATGATATCTTTTATCCAGATCGATTAAAACAACATCCTAGATACATAAGTTAAGTTAAGTTTAGTAGCATAATGTTGTTAAGTCTCTTCTCTAGTTCATACTTTGTCGAAACTGCAGTACATATACCACTGGAGATTTGTGCAGGATGCAGGGTATTTGCCAGCCAGGGCATTTCAACTAGAGCACTCTGACTTGTTGTCGGTGGTTAATGAACAGATATTTGCAGTGCGTGACGAGAGGGGGCTGCAGACTGAAAGCCGCACAGGTAGCCAGTTTATGCACACATTCATACTATATATTTAAATAGCCACTAAAGCAACATTGTTTTTACTTTGTTGCTGCACAGCCAAAAGCTAGCGGGTGAGAGGAGAGAGTCGAATTCGGTACCGTAGACAGAGCCAAAATCAATCCTTCCTGGCAACCGCAAAACCTCAGTCGCAACCATTGCAATAGTCCCCGCCCGCCTGGCATGGGGCTAGTGGGAGAATGCATTGCGCACCCACGCGGCAGCAACGCAAGGCAGGTCAGAGGCTGGCAGTAGGTCTGGTACTTGCACTTGGACAACTCGACAAAATGATATTTAATTAAGGACAGTTTAGCCAACGAGCTGGACATACCTAAGCCCAGAGATATTTAAGTTCATTAACCCAACTCTGTTTGTTTGTATAACTCTTCACGCATTCCGCATAAACTGTGCTCATCAGTTAGAAAGCGTTTGTCCTCGACCAGTCCGACTCGCCGCTCTCGACTGTCGATTCTCGACTCTCCAATCACTGAGCTCCACTCTCGACTCCCTGTCATTTAGATCTATTGGCGTGCTACGTGGTCGTTGACGCTGGCTTCAAATGTCTTCATTAGCTCGAGTTGAGCTTGCGTTTGAAAGTCAAATCTATCGCAATAAGAAGCCAAATTAATCAAACTGCTCCAAAAAAAGAAACAAAAACCAAAAACATAATGACACGAAACCCCGAAGAAAAAATAAATAAAATTCAAACTGAATACCAAAACTTTTAAAGAGACTCCTAGACATTTTGGTTTTGCTTGCTCTTTGGTTGTCATTATTCAATGGAGCGCACCGACGCATTTGTGTTACCTGGCACAGGTTGGGAGCAGGAGGCAAAGGCAGAAGGCGGTCTAAACTGGAGCAGTGAAGCCAAGGCAATCAGCCGCAACTCAACAAGCGCACACGCGTCTGCCTTTTGTTGTACGGATAAAATATGGCACTACTTATGACCGCTAAAGACCCAATGTAAATGATAATACATAATACTAATAATAAAAATAATAATAATAATAGCAATGATAGAAATTATAATGAGCAGCCGCTCTCGACTCTCGACACTCTCAGCTCCGATCGTGAGGAAAACAAAGCATGCAACAACCTAAATGAGTTATCAACATCAGCCCCAGCTGAACAATGGCCAGCCAAACAACTCAGCGCATCAGAGCCAAATTTCTAGTAATTGGTAAAGACGATCAATTTAAAAATGGAGCCAGTCCCAGCCGTGTACAAGTCTGACTATTTATGTCTCCACATATGCGAAACACTGACTCTACTCTGGTAACTCTAGTATGTTTCAGTTCGTTGCGACAGGCTTTCATTTTACTACATATTATTTACTACTATTATTACTACGGATATAGAATGTTTGCTCCAATTTTCATCAGTTGGCTTTTTCTTGCATTTTATTTCAGTTACACTTGCTCACTTCAAGTCAAATGAGTATATTGATTTTAAATACCGCCGAGTTCCGATAATTCGACTTACACAGAAATTCAAATTATCGAGATTTATCGAGAACGATTTTTTTTTTTTGATTTAGTGACACACTCGATTTTAGCGGGGTACAAATTATCAAGACTCGACTGTATATTGTTTCTAGTAGTAATATAATTGCTTCTAGCTTTAAATCTTTAAATGATTGGGACTATAAAACTTTGTATATTTGTCAATTGTCATGATGTCCTGGATGAAAATAATAATAATTCTAAAAATTTGATTTTTCATGTATTTTACTGCAGTTTATTCATTGTATACTTATTTCCAAATTTATTATATTTTATGTACATATAACAATTTATCAGTTGGTCTATATGATCTAGTCACCTGTTACGTGTTACCTAGGTTTGAAATTCAACAGTTTAACTAGGAAATATACTTCAATAGTTTAATATTTTATGTCATTTGTAGTCCCTTTGGCTATTTAAACATGTCTTTTCATGATTTTTTTTGGCTGTAAGTCTTAAACTAATCAGCATGTAGATATAAATTTTTATCTAAAATATTAAATTTCGGTTATTTTCTCGCTATTCAGTTTCTGCTTCATCCCCAAAGAATAAAGTTGCTGCTGTACGATGATAATATTGTACTAGTATTAGTATTATATGCATATATATATATGTATTGTATAGAATCCAACTATCAAGTCTATAGCCCTAACAACGGTTCATGCCATATCATTCATCGTGCTTAGTTTTCAATAGATACACTCATTTAATATCCATATTATTATTAGTATCCATATAATTGACATAGGCCGAAGCTACAAACGGTCATGGTATATTTTAACTATCTACATTCACTATATATAATTATTAAGGCAGAGAGACCAACAAGCCAACATATTCTTCAGTTCTTCAGTGAACGAGAGTAATGTTCGGATTGAAGATATAACATGGCTAATATCATGAAGACGTCGAACGATTTGTTAATAAACTTTAAGCTTATGCAAAACTTTTTCATAGAGACTTATTAAGGCAATTCTAGAACAGCATCGAGGAGGAGTTGGCATTCCTTGAACGAATCGCAGCTTCATTTGTCTTTCTTTTTTATTCAACCTTTTAATTAACGAAACACAGAGGAAACTTATGGGACTTAGCGAGGAATCGCTGCGGCGCGTGTCGTTCATTTGCCGTTTTTAATCCTTTCGGTTGTTTGTCCTTTGATATTAGATTAGGGCTGATAAGAGATGGCCGGACGGATAGGCGGTCTAATAAAGGCCAAAAACAATTGCCAGATTACCAGATTGCGATCAAACAGTTGTTGGCCAAATATTGAAAACCATTTAAAGGGAGGGTACAACAAAAAAAGTTAAATAAATCTATGACGCGTGACAATGTCAGGCTTGCTCGAAAAGCTGTATTTAAAAATATGTATATATATGATATAGACACATATATATTTATATATGTGTGTATATAAACAAGCGCTCACACACTTTGAATGTTGTTTGTTTGCTGGACGAAATGAGCTTTGTCATTTAATCAGAAAACACCGCATGATGTCCTGGCTCGCCATTTACATAGCTCTCTCGCTCTGGCACTCGTTGTATTGGCCATGGGGGCGTTGGGCGTTGGGCGTTGGGTTCGGCTATTAAATGAACGACACTGGGGCTGTCGTTGACAATTTGGTCAGCGCTTACATTCTTACATCATTAGCTTGTTATTTGCATGCCTGTTGCCGTCGTCGTTGTCGCTGCTCGGCTGTTGTGGCAGTAATTATTAGCTGCCCCTTGCGGCACGAGCCGTCAATTGGCAGGCATGCAGGCTGCCTGCCTGGCCGTCTGTCCGTCTGTCCGTCTGGCAGGCAGTCAGGCAGGCAACAGTTGCAGCTAATTAGCCAACTGCTGCTGCTGCTGCTGCTGCTTCTGCTTCTGCAAAATTCTATGCAATGGGACTCTGAAGTACCAGCTCATGACCATATCCCTATGTATTATAATGTTGGGTTCAAATCGATTATAACATTGCGTGACGCCCAAAGAACAGCTTCAGCTCAGCTCGGCTCAGCGCAGCTCAGCTCAAGGTATTCATGTGAGCAAGCCGACTGCAGCTAAATTCGCGAACTGTCGACCCGAGTTGTTGTCGTTGTTGTCGAGTTGTTGCATGTTGCCCCGGGGCCAGCGCAAACTGCAGCAAGAGCAGCAGCAGCAACAGCACGATCAGCAGCCTAATGTGACGACTGGACATTGATCCTTGCTGCGTGTTAGGGCCCATTCACAATAATCACAAAGCTGAAGCTAAAGCCAGAAACGCATTGTGCAACGGATGCCCCAAACTTAACTCGCTCAATCAAAGCACTTCCGCTCTCAGCAACAACTTCCGTTCTTTGGCCAAAATTCGGATTCTTGAATAAGAAATTTGCTCAACGTTGCCAGACGAAACGACTGCAAGTCGAAGAGTCTTTCTTGAATTAAAAGGACGAAGCTTTATTTTTATTTTTTGCCATTTTTTCGAGTTAAGATAGATGAAAACAATAAAAAATTATTGGCTTATATGTCCAAAAGAACTAGAAATTAATCTTATCAGATGTGACCTGATGTGAATGAATCATTATTTGGGTGTCAGTCAACTTTCTTGAATACATTTGAAAAAGTCTGCTCTATATTGTAGAATGCATAGATAATCATGGGGTTCCAAGTTTTCATCAATCTATCTGAATGAAACTTCCACTGCACTAAGCAATATATTGTCTATTATGTAAGTAGTTGACTCAAGTTGAAGTGCAGCTGGCATATTTATGTTCCATATAAAATATCGTAATATTTGGAATATATTCGCTTGGTCATTTTCCTCCCTGATCTCTGCTTTACAAAGTGAAGCTAAAGACTTAACATTTGGCACATATACTGTTGTGTATTTCATTGTAGTGTCGAATAATCTGCCCATGTATATTCCAGTAATAAAATATATCAATTTTGAGGTATATACGCAGAAGCGCACCTCTGAGACTTGGTAAATGGAGACCCCTCTACGTATGTATATCTGTCTCGCTCTACGCATCTACATATTTGGAACTCACCTCGACCACTGCGTCCGACGAAGCGCAGATCGTTGAACTTGGCCACGCCGTTCTTCATCTGGGCTGTGTAGTTGCGGAGCTCGGCACAGCAATTCTCGTCGTTGCCCGCCCGGATGGTCACATAGGTGCCATCGCCGACGTCCGCCAGGGCGACCACTTTAAAGGCCAGCGGCAGAGTTTTATTCGAGCGCCAGTGAGAGGGCAGGGCGGAGCAGAGGAAGTACGGATTGCTGGTGCGCACTGCAATGCAGAACGATAAATAAAATTAAATCAAATCGAAATTGCAAAATAAAATCAGAAAAAAGCAATAAACAAAAATGTATAATCAATTTATGGATTCATTTATAATTTCTCCAAAATATGGTGAATAATTGATAGTTATTTGGCGGCAGCATTTGACCATCAATCATTTCCATCTGCATTAACCGTTCCACCATGGCGCTTCATAATTAATTAGTGGGTGGTCAGTGCCAAAGACACCGTCAGTTGCCAGTTAACAGTTGGCACTTGCCAACTGCCCCATTGTGGGGCAACATCTGACAGTCAGTCAATCAACGCGGAAGGTCACCAGGCATCTAGTTGCTGATTTCTAAAAATCATTTCTGAATTTAATTTTCAATTTCAAGCAGCATATATGTAGACATATATAAAGTAGTCTATAGTAACAGTGGTATATGCAAACATACATATAAGATAGTTTATCAAATATCGCAACTTGATATTCCATTCAAGCCGAAAGTTTCAGTTAGCACTGTTTTGCCTCGCAGGTTTGTACTAATTTTATATGAACTCTGAGTTTTAAGTAAATAAATATTCTATAGTAATGTCATCCTTTCATACTTCAGAGCTTCAGCTTTATCCTGCTATTGTTTGATATTCATGTTTACATATAAATAATTGTATTTATGCTCGAGAATGTCTGTGTTACATCTTGCTGTAAGTTTATGTGTATATATTCCTTAATATGCATTTTAGAACTACAAACTAGATATATATACATGTGCATACATATGCAGATACACAGATACACACATACACACATATATCCATACACAAACACGCATAAGTTTAGATATATGCAAAATAATTTCGTGCTCGTAAATCGCACAAAATCGTAAATTCTACAGTTTTATAGTTCCATAAATTTCACTTAAATGTGCGCCCAATACAGCATATATTTTACACCAACTATTTGAATTTGCAAACAAAAATTCTCTGTTCTCTACAGATTAATAAGACAAATAATATTTAATAATATAATTTAAATGAATAATATTTAATAATATTGCGAGATAAATAATATACTGCGCGATATCATCTACAGTCGACTCTCGGTATTTCGAAATTCAAGAGACTCTTAAAATATTTCGAATTGTCGAGTGTTTAACCATATGAGTACGAATTACCGCGTCTTAGCAATGATTTTTAGTTCGAATTACTGAGTGATAACTTTGAATTAATGAGTGGTTCGAAATAACGCCAGTTTGAAAAAACAAGAGTCGACTGTATTTAGTGAATTACAAAATATAAATTATATTACAAAATTTTGTTGTGGTAAAGAAAACTTCAAAACTAGTGGTAGCTATTCACTCTTAATTAGAGTCAAGATTACAGGGTATCTGTCTCTACAGTACCTGTTGGCTAACAACACAATAATTACGGGTATGATATAAGCAATATCTAATACCTACATACTGGTACAAGGTATCTGATAGTTAACATGTATTAGTTAGAGCACATCATATCATATCATCACATCAATTTGTTTATCAGCTAGCTATCCTTCTACGTTCCCAAATTTGTCATAATCAAGGTGCTGAAGAGCATAAACACAAAAGCAAAAGAAAGAGAAGAAGCTATCGACCAAAAATGCATCCAAGTCTTATAGGGAACAGGGTAATCTTTCACTAAATTCCACGCAGGATGATTTTCTCAAGCTCTGAGATTTCATATGGGTCATTGATACGATCAGGCATATATGGATTTCAGTGAAATGTTCTACCAAAGACGAGCGCCTAAAGTAGAAGACGAAGAGAAAGAAGTAAAATAAGAGCAGCAGAAAAAAGAGCAGCCAAGACTCGTGCGTTGATATCAATAACAATTATTGATATCAATTTACTCGTCACCGAACATTGATATACATTAAAGCCCTAAAAGTTTTCGATATCTTATGAATGTCATCCTGGCCACGCGCTAAAGCATCGAAAGCAAACTGTGCAGTATAAGCAAATCCGGATTTGTAATTTTCGAACTACATATATATAATATAATATACAGATATATAATATAATATATCAAATAGTTTTCACCAACTGAATATTAAAACGATTAGTATCCAACTTATTTTCTTATAGATTGGAAATAAATATATCTAATAATTCTATTAGAATTTTTAAATGAGAGAAATCTATTAAAAGCCGAATTAGATTTATTTTCCTTTGAAAAGTATCAAGAACATCGGACAAAATAAATTCGAGCTTATTAATATGCTTTCTATAACTATATAGAAAAAAGTTTTCTTTTTTTGTTAGAACTAGAAAGATCTAAAAGCGAAAATACCAATTGATCTTTAATGAAAATATCAACGAAGTCGAACTAAATAATTTAATTTATATTTATGACAATATAGAGCAAAAGTCGAAGTCAATATCCGTACACTCTGTGTTTACATATTGTATTTCTTTTTCTTTATAATATATATAAATTTGGTATGATGCATACCCAATTCGCCGGGATATTCCTGTTGTCGTTCGAGCACAAATCGCTCCATCCATAACAAATCCTGATGTACTGCATTGTTGCTGTTGTTGTTGTTGTTGCGACTGTTAGTATTGTTATTATTATTATTGTTGTTGCTACTGTTGTTGTTGTTGTTGTTGATATTTATTTTATTGCCACTGCCACTGTTGGCACTGTTGGCGGTGCCATTGCTGGCGCCACCTGTTGGCGAACTGCTGCCGACACTGGCACTGCTCGACGGCAACACCTCGCACATGATCGCCGCAGCGGCTGAGCCACCAGCGGTGGCAGCAGCAACAGCCGTATTGGCGCTCTTATATTCCGCTGGCGCTGACCAGCCCGTACCCGTTGGCGATGCTGATGATGTGACCATTGCCGACCGATTGCCGCCGTCGATGGTGCTGCTGCTGCTGCTGCTGCTGACGGGTGCCACAGCCGGGATAGCTCCTGTTTCGATTGCAATTGCGCCCGTATAGTAGCTGTTGAAGTCGCTGACGATCGTCGTTGTTGTTGCTGAGTTGCTGTTGCCGCCTCGCTGGGCAAATGGAAATGCATTCGGTGTGGGCGTCAACAACTGAATCAAAATCAAAATCCAAATCAAATCAACAATTATTGCTGTTGTATTTTCCTTTTTTTTTTTTTTTTTTTTTTTTTTTTGCGGCGCCAATTTGTCGAACGACAAGTGATTTGTGCGGGCTTCGCTCTCACTATATAAAGATTTGTGTTTTTTTTCAATTTCAGTTTATGTTGCTGTTGCTGTTATCACTGTGGATCGATAACTGATGCCTCAAGCAGTTGCAGCAGCTGATGGTTGTTGTTGTTCTTGCTGTTGTTGTTCTTCTCTATTTTGATTGACTTAATAATCAGGCAAAACAAAAAATTAGTCACAAATTAACACTCGATGACTTAATGACGACTATTGTTGATCTTGCTGTTGTTACTGTTGATGATGTTGTTGCTGCTGCTGCTGCTGCTGCTTGCTGATTCTGCTGCTGTTTGGATGTTTAGCTCTTGACTTCCATGGCTATTGCAACATTAGGCACACACAGATAAACACACACATACATGCGTAGATCATAATCAATTCATTACATTCATTTGCGACTACATTTTCGCGCTTTTTCTTTTTTGTGCTGTGTCATTTGACAACAGCAACAACAAGAGCATTGTTTTTACTCTCCTATTTCTTTCTAATTGGAACAACAGTATCACTTGGTTTACCAACAACTGTTTCCGTTAAAAGTATCAGAAACTTTTTATTTTTTAAATGTTTATTGCTATTTTGATTTCAAATTTTATTTGATTAACGTGTTTATTAATTTTTTGTTTGTTTTTATTTTTTATTTCGAATCTAAAGTTTCTGTTTGGCGCCTTTTTTTTAGCCTAATTCATATTGCAACAATAATAATTATATTAATAGTAATAATTAATAAATCATTACACTTCCACACACGCACACACACTCACACACACAATGGCAAATTCGTAAAGCGCCATGTGCAGTTGGTTTTTTGCTATTTGATTTGATTGCCAACAAACAAAATATGTAAAAAAAAAAAGAAACAGGTGCGTCCGCGTGTCGAACTAAATTGTTACTGACACCTAACGTGGCCACCAGCGGCGAGTTAACCTATAGAACAGCCGCCAGCCGAGCCGAGCACAAAATTCACTCATCGTCATCACTATCGGCGCGACGGCAGCAACAGTAAACCGCCGCCGCAACACCCTGTCCGCTGCCGCGCTGCTGCTGTCGCTGCTGCTGCTGCTGCTATGATAAGCTGTGAACATTAATTCCAACGGCTCTCTTGCTCTTGCGCTCTTTAACTGCGTGCTGCCTGCACTCTGCGCTCTTATTCAGCAATTGCCTTTTCAACGGCTGAGCTCGTTTCACTCTCTCGCCGTTGCGTCTGCGTCGGCGTTGAGCGCTAGCCAATCGGCATGCGGTTGCCAGTGCATTGTGCGCAGACCGTTATGTCTTAAACGCATTGTGATTGGCTAGACGCAGTGTTCATGTGTGTGCCTGTGTGCGCCTGTGATTGTGCTTTGTAGGTCACGGTGGTTCAGGCAAGTGTTTGCTTTTTTTCCGTGGAGCCCATTGCCGTCTGTCATTGGGTGGAGCCCAATTTATTTGCTTCTGTGCGGCCAATTGGCCTCGGCCGCTCTTTTGAATACTCTTTGCCCTTAGCTTGTTTTGTTTTCTCCAAGCTCTTGCTTTCTCTCTCTCTCTCTCGTTCTCTTGCTTTTCTATCTCTCTCGTTGTCAGTCTCTATATCTTTCTCTTAGGTGCCCTATCAATGCTTATTTTTGTTGTTTTATACTAAGTAAACAGTTCTTGTGCTCGTATTTATGTTAATTTTTGTTATGTATTTATTTTTTTAAGGCAAAACGATAGTTGTTATCAAACTCCAGATTGGGCTGTGCGGCTATCATAATTATCATAAATGCCACATGAATATCTACAACTAAATATTTAATGTAGTAGTTATAATTTACGTACCAGCCGATCGAAGTGGCATTCGCATTTGCATTGACTAATTGCTCTTACTTGACAATTTTCTTACGAAGGCCCGCTTACAGAGCAGTCAGTGCGAAGTACCCGCACTTATGCAGGAATGACGATGGTTGACTCAACTCGAGTTCCATAGGTATTCATGCAGCTTGTTGCATCCACACACACACACGCACATAAGTACTAGAAAGTTAATCAAATATTTCTCTTAGCTCTAACTGTTATTGTTGCTGTTAACCACACAACTTATCACATATACATATATAAATATTTTTACAATATATTCACATAGCTCAAGTTGGCATTTTCATATTCAAGTACATCCATACATATATATCTATGTATATACATACATGTGTACACTAATATTCTCATTGGATTATTATTATTTCGCTACTGTGGGAAACTTTTGGCTTATCAGTCGAAACAAAAAAGAAATAATTACTTATGAAGATAACATGGTATAGTCGGCTAGGGTCTACCCTGGAAATTAAGACACTTTATGTGTGGAAGTGGTAGGATAACCGTAAATAGCCCATAGTACTATAACGAAATTTCAGTTTATATTTTAATAAAGTTTATATACAGAAATATATTTAGTATGAGCTACAGAATGAACTCTTTCAATGAATACAGGGTATTCACATACATTTTATACGATATGTGAAAGAGCACTCGCTCTTATCACATTATATGTGGACATTTGAAGGTCAAGCAACATGCTTAACATTTATTCCCACATTATTCAGATAAAAGCAAGTAAGAAAGCTCTAGACGAGACTGCTCGGCTACGAGATCCGCTGATCTCTTCTAGGAACTGATATTTCAATAAATCTAACTCCATTTCAACGTACACAAGAAACAGCACATAGGCACACACACACATTGGGTGCAGTGTGGGCTCCCTATGGGAGCTTAATTGCTTAGTAGCTTTGTATGCCTTGAACCCATTGAAAATGGAAGATATACTCTATAAATAGAGCTTCAAATTTTAAATATAAGTACATAATAAATAAAAATAAAATAAATAAGTAAATAAACATGACACTCGAATTATTAAATTAAACGCTTGGCCAAAAGGCAAACAAGAACTGATGAATTTGCTTTGCATTCTTTGCGAATTTTATTTAAATTATTATAATTTCGTCTGCTTATTATATTCAGCTGCATTTTAATGATTTTAGAGTTATTATGCAAGCTGACATAACTAACAGTTAAACAGTTTAATCCAATGAGAAATAATTTCCATATTTAGAATGTTCCCAAGTGTAGCAACACGTATATGCATATTATACTTGGGTAAAAGCAGCTCATTGAGGTAAAAAGAGCGAGTAATCTTTTTTGTGAAGTGAGCCAACTCACTTATTTGGCTCACTCACTGATAGCTTATGAGCCGATAGTGATCGCAAGCAAAAGGAACCAAAATGAGCGAGTGAGCGAAATGGAGCTAGTGAGCCAAAATGAGGAGCAAGTATAGCTATAGCTATAGTTTTGAATGTCAAATATTCTATAGAGTATGTAAACATAACATCAACAGGCGTGGGCTTTCGGTTTTCTACGTTGGCATGCGAGCATTCTAGCATATTCTAGGAATACAAATTGTTAGTGAATTCTATTGTATTGCCTTTTAATTGTATTTGTATTTTCAGCCACTGCTTTACATTTTCTGTTTGACGTGTGGCGCAGTGCAGTTGTTATTCCCTTTTCGCTACCACGATTCAAAGCAGTGCACCCCTGCTCGAGTCGATGCACGAGTTCTGCCGAGTTCTCCATTATTTTTGAAAAACATTCTATTAACTTTCAACCTTATCGAAGGGCTTTTGAAACTCCTTACTTTTTCTGCATTTATAGCCACATAAACACATGAATTATTAGGGGTTCAGGGAAAAAGTCGAGCTTCTGTAATATATACATAAAACCTTGCTGAAAACTGTGGCTCTAAATTTGTGAGAGATATAATTTTATAGCTGATTTTCATTTAGGATGCTTGCGATAACAAAAAATTGCATATATACGATCGCGTGGTATATACGGACTAACAAAATATATACATATATATAAAGAATCTAGCTCTTATATTTTCTGAAGCCGACTACATTTTAACTAAACCATTTTCCCTGATTTCCCATTTAAGCACTGATAAATACTGCGCAAATAATTGTAATCTGAAGGTCTGGTTTATGCATATGTACATATGTGTATCGATTAAAGATTAACGCATTTGAGTTAACGCCCGATTCTTGTGTGGTTTTTATACCTTCAACCCATTGAAAATGTGAAAGCAGGGTGTAATGGTTTTGTTAAAGTCTACATATGCAAAATGCATAAAAAAGCGTGGCAGACCCAATAAAGTGTATATATTATCTTGATTAGGCAGACGAGCTGAGTCAAATTAAGCCCCATCAGTCTGTGCTTTTCCGTATGCTGGAACGCGTTTGCCTCATTTTTATTTGTTATTACCACTTCATTTTGTTATGTTCAACTGCTCGCTGTCTCTAGTGTAGGCAAAGCAGTAGCAGTAGCTTAATATAGTTTCCGGTAGATGGCGCTAAGGGTGCAGTTCTTGTAGCTTTATCGTAGTGTATTCCAACACCATATAGCGGCTAATTCCCCTGCGCAAAATGCTGAAACATCACGAACTGCGATAGCTATCGTTAAAAAGCGGCATCGATTTGCAGGGTTGCTCTGAGCGATTGCGCAGAGTAGCTTACAAAAGATGCCATATTGAGTAAATCAACAATTGTCTTCCGTTTCCCGACAGAGACAGTTGTCGGCTTTGGTTAGGGCCGGCAGAATAGTTTTTTCTATATATTTAAATCTTTATGTTATAAATAAATCACTTGTTTAATTTTGTAAATATAATTACTATATGCTTAATTACTTCATAACGCATTTATACTGTGACAACTATCAACAACACTTAATATCCATATTTTGTTTTTATTATATGTACATTATTATTGGATTCTTCGTATTTTTAAAAAGTAGTACATATCATTTAACTATCTATTCATATACATATGCATATATTTTTTTATTCAACATATTCATGCTTATATATACAAAAAATATTAAAAATTAAAAAAAAAAAAAAAAAAAAAGTGGGTATGAAATGTGATGATAATTGCCAAGGACTGCGCCGCTATTCAGTGTCTGTCAATTCTTCATGATTTCAATTGTAGCGTAACTGCCAAATGAGCCTATATTACCTACGGCAGTGATTTCGGCAATAAAGGGTATAGCTTGACGCATTCTGGCATTTTTATACTCATTCACGAAAGTGAATTAGTATATTGGGTTTGCAATGTCCGTCTTGCTGTCCGTCCGTCTGTCCGTATGAACGCAATCTATTTCGGCGCTATTGAAGCTAGAGACTTGAAATTTGGAAAACATACACGTGTATATCTCCGATCTATAAAGTGTTAAAATTTTCCCGATCCGCCCACTAGGGGCGTGGAAAATCGGAAAATGCATTTTCCGATATACCAGAAATCTTGTTTGTTGAAGAGCTAGAAAGCTGAAATTTAATATGTAGGTCCGCGTCGACCACCCTAGATCACGAGCTATGGCGGATATTTCTCCGCCCATTGGGGTCGTGGCAAATAGGGTAAAACTGTATCCCCAAGAGTTTTACAGCTAGAGCGCTGAAATTTTGCACGTCAGCTAATGTTATGATTCTATAAAGTCTAAAGTAGTGTTGGATAAACGTTGCTCAATTTGGTGAACGTGTTCACTTGTTCTTTTTTCGAAATGAGTCGACTCGCTCACTTTCCTCAGTTGCTTATTCACATTGCTCAGTTGCTCACTGTTCATGAACAGCTCAAAGCTTCTTCACACAACAGACATACGTTATGTTCCATTTTAAATCTTTTTTTTTTATGATTTTTATAAGTCTTGTACTTAAAACTAATTTAACAAAACAAACCAAAAACTTTATTCATAGATTTGATTCCCTTCGTTGGGAGTATTTATGTTCTATAAAACTTGTTCTTAAAACTAAATTGGAAAATAAAAAACAAAAAGTTAAAGAAATTCCCTTCATTGGGAATATTAGTTTTCTCGTTAAATAAAAATACTATTATTTAGGCACATACATAAAATTTACATGTTATTATGTAAAATCATAAGATTTTCCACTCTTCAGCTAAATATTTATCCATTTCTCGAATACCAACAGCAATTGTATTTGTGGGGTGGCTTACTTGTTGGAACTTATTGTCGTACTCGTTCCAGATGTCGTCTTTGTCAGTAGAACCCAATTCTTCAGCTGGGACACCTTCATTCAGTGCGACAACGGTGCGCATTTTTGTCAGTTTTTTTTTTTTATGTCAGAAACCGCGTTTTGAAAGGCTTCTGTTGATTTAAATACTCGTCCTTTAAATCTTGGATCCAGAATGGTGCTTTCTGCGTACAAAACATTTGTTTCCACCTCTCTGAGTCTGCCATTCATTTCAAAAATGAGCGTCTCGACAACCTCCTGCAAACCCAACTAAGACAATTATCTTTGATAGCGTCACGTTTTTTTCCGCGCAGATCTCTTCCGTTAGTTGATAGAAGGGCTGTAAAATTGGAAGTACACCTTCTATCAAACTCCAGTCTTCTGGGGACAAAATAAGGTCCGTCCGTGTGGAGAGGGCTGCCACAACTGCCTCTTTCAACATCGACAGTCGTTGAAACATTTTGAAGGTGGAATTCCACCTTGTGGGCACATCCTGCGTGAGTTTCAGTTGTGGCAAGTTAAACATAGCCCTGATGAGCTACGGTTAAAGTACTCTGCGATAGCTTTTACTTTCGTGCGCACACTGCTGATTTTCTCCAAAGCCTTTTGAACAATGATGTTTAGAGAGTGCGCAAAACACCTCACCTGTTTCCAATTGCCCAATTTTATAGCACCAACAATGTTGTGGGCATTGTCCGAAGCTACAGCCATTACTTTATTTTGTAACTCCCACTTGCCAACAATTTTTTGAAGAAAACCAAAAAGGTTTACTGAAGTGTGTGACTCTTCAAAGGCCTCGCAAGCAATGGTGTGTGATTGTAGCACTGTTGTATCCTGATTTATGTAGTGCACAGTTACTGCTATATAGCTCTCATTGCTGAGTGATGTCCAGCCGTCTGTTGTTAGACATACCGCAGTGGCCATTCGCAAATTGTCCAAAATTTGTCCCAAATGTTCATCAC